TACTACTATTACGATTACTAGTAGTAGTAGTACTACTACTACTACTCATACTACTACTACTACCACCACAACTACTTCTACTACTACTAATACTACTATTACTACGACTACTACTAGTATTTCTACTACTACGACTACTACTACTACTACTACTACTACTACTACTACTATTACTATTCCTACTATTATTTACTACTACTACGACTACTACTACTACTACTACTGCTACTACTACTACTACTACTACTACTACTACTACTACTACTACTAGTACTACTACTACTACTACTACTACTACTACTACTACTTCTACTACTACTACTACTACTACGACTATTTATTAGTTCGGCCATTATTACTATGGCTACATTTACGACTCCGACTAACTCATCATTGGGCGTGTCTTCGAAGCTGAGCTGAAGCTCTCCCAGCAACGACCTGTAGCCGAGATGTCGGGCACCCAGCTCGCCCAAACGGTTACATGAGTTTTTTTCGCAACCCAAACCTACCGACCACGACCCCCCGCAGCGCACGAGGGGAGGGGGAGGGCGCCACCGAGCAGCCAGCCCGCACAGCAGCACGCACAGCGAGGAGCCAGCGAGGAGCCGGCGAGGCAGGGGAAGGAAGAGGCCACAGGCAGGCAGCAGGGGGACGGGTCCCCCCTACATCAGTATTCAGTCAATATATGTATGTCCTCTGGGCCTCTGGGCTGCGGGGGCAAGGAGATTATAGATCGAATTGTTTCGAGCGTCCCTCCATCCCATATTCCGAGGATGGCCTTGGATTTCCTCAGGACGGGTGGGGGGGCGAAAGCATGTGCTTCTATTGCACTCGGGGGCATTAGGGCGTTGGAGGCGAGGAGGAGTGGGGAGTGTGGTAGGGTGTCTTTCAGGCGCGCGTGCAACAGCGCCCTTCAGCTGGCGGCTCACACGCGTGTCCACACACGCGCTCCCCGCACCAGCATCAAGCTGTAAGTCAGGGTCGCCCTCCGCACCTCCATCTTTCACAGCCCGTCGTCCAGGCACGTGTTGAGTATCCACGCCAAGTGGTTCATCGGGGCGGCTCCAGGCTTTTTCACTCCGCCGAGCTGCTCCAAGGAGGCGAACAGCGGCTCGAGCTCGGGGAGCCGTACGATCGTTATCTTCGCCTCTGTCTCCTTGAAGGCTGGCGCCACCTTCACCAGCGTGAACTTCTCCGCCGCCTCTCGAGGCAGCGTCTCTCCGAGCTTCTTCTTGAGGCCGGTGAGGTCCTGCATGTTCTTCTGGCCGCATGTGACACCCGCCGCCTCGCATCCCTCGATGATCCCGACCATGGCCGCGCAGCTGATGGTGTTCAGCTTCGCCTCGATCTCCTCCTCTTCCTCCTTGCTTCTCATCCGTAGTTCCTGGGCACGTTCGATCCTGGCTTTGACTCGAGCCCGCGCCTTGATGACGGGTTGGGTGTTGGCGCGGATGAGCACTGTCACGAGCGTAACCGCCTCGCTCTACCTGGTGCGCATCGCGGTGCTGAGCACTATCTTTGTTGGGACGGGGACCAACGCGCGCAGCTCTTGGGCTTCTGCTGCCCGCTGCCTGTTGCTTCTCCTCCTCCGTCTCATTGGCGCCTTCGACCTGCTGTGGCCAGTGGCAGCTGCTCGTCGCTTGCCGTCGCGGGAACTATATCGAACGTACTGCCCATGGCGCCAGCGCGGTAGTGGAAGATCCCACTTGACCTCAGGGAGCGGCTTTGGTAAGTGCATTGCCAGATGTCTTTGCAGCTCCTCGAACCTACCAAATGGCTCCAGATCCTGGCATATGGGGCGCGAACTCGATGGGATTTCGACGAGAGGGTGGTCGTAGGGCGAGCCATCGACTCGACAGCGTCCGTATTGACATACAAGCAGTAGATGGCGCATTGCTGTATGGCGATATTTCAGTGTAGATGTGCATGCGAGGCATTCACTCGTACTGGTGGGTATCTGCGCCGCTGTTCACCTCCAGGCTGTCCTCCCTCCGCCTGCCTCTCACGAACGAGACGGGCACGCGTGTGGAGGAATCTGGCTTGACGTGGCGGCCCGTCCGCACCGAGCAGCCCGCACTGGAAGTCCCCCTCCTTTGCACGGCGATTGAGGTAGCTCACTGGCGTCGCCGAGTGTGTCATCGTGCTGATGTGTCCGCTCCCCCTCCCCTCCCCCCCCCCCCAAACAAAAAAAAAAAACTCGAAGCCTCCCTCCGCGTGCTCGCCGCCCTCACAGGGGGGGGGGGGGACGGCCCGCTCACACCTCTGTCCCCTGCCGTGGTGGCGAGCCGCTCGCGGCGGAGCTGGCGCACGTCGCGAGGGGCGAAGGCTGCGTTGACGTCGCTCGCGGCGTCGAGAGGGCTCGGGTGCCCCCCCCCCCGCCCGTCCAGCATGTCGGCTCTCTGGCTCCCCCCCCCCCCCGTCGTGGCCATGGGTTCAACGTCCCCTCTCGGGACTGCACGGCCCAGGGGCTGGTCAGCGCTGCACCGGGTGGCGCTGTCACCGCCGTGGGAAACCGCGCGCACTCGGATTCTGTCGTCATCTCCATCCCCAGGTCGCCGAAGACTGCCGCTATACGTGTTGCTTATGCGCCATGCGGGTAGTTTTGCAACCGCCTGCCATTGATTCAGATGCTGCGCTCGTAGTACAACCTCTGTCGGTACCATTTCCAGCTGTTTCCAGACCTGCGTAGCAGGTGGGGTTATGATGACATCGTACTCTCCCCCATGTTCCGCCATCGACTTCTACTCGTACCGCGGCACTTTCTAGTAGTACCCGTGCGAGCTCGATGCGCTGCTTGTCGATCTTGTCGGCTTGCGCCTTGCTCAGCACGAGTCCTGCAAGTTCCGAGGTCGCAGCTCCGGTCACCATGCTCCTGAACACAATATTATTTATCTTCCACTCCTCCACTCGCCATGCTGCCACACGTCGTGCTTCAATGTCTACCCATGTGAGCCCAGTGCGTGTAAGTATTGTTCCAAGGAAGGGGGCCTCCTGCACGATCTTGCCAGGGATGGTGCCCGTCCCCGCGCAGAAGATGCAATTGATGTAGGCGTTGGCACCATGCTCACCATAATGTGGGGAGACCTGCTTTTTCTTTGACATTCGACCACGCCCAAGCCTCTCAGCGCGCCGTGTGGAGATGCTGGTCGGAGCGTTTTATCACTTCGCTGGTATGCATCGCGTCCGTCGCGCAGTGGGTCTTGTTGACGTCGTCGGCGAAGACGCGGAGCGACAGGTCGATGAGCTCGTCCCCGAAGGGGTAGCAGACCAAGAGCTCGTTAGGGCACATCTCGTGGTGCAAGTGCTGCCAGTAGTTGATGGGGACCTTGAAGGGCTCCTGGAACACCTTCGCTGCGTTCGCGTCGCCCATGTAGTTGCCCTCGCTGTTCTGCATGGCGATCGTCTCGCCTTCGGACTCGATCTGGAAGCAAGTGGGCCGTCTTGGGGCGCTCTCACGCCAGCTTGGGGTTCTCTTGGGCCGTCCTGGGGCCCTCATGGCCGTATGGTGGGTGTCGGCGGGGCGTCGTGGGGCCGTCTTGGGCCCTCGAAAGGTCTTCCAAGGCCGTCTTGGGTCCCACGGGAGGCCCTCTTGGGCCGTCTTGGATGCCTCTTGTGCCATCGTTGAGTCCTCTCGGGCCGTCTTGAGCTTACGGCAGCCCGAAAAGGCGAGAATGTGAAACGCATTCAAAAACCCACGGGAAACAATGATTTGGGTTTCTTCTGATCCTGTTCGCGGTTCTCTTGCGACCAGTGTGGGTCCTCTTCGAGGCATCCTGGGCCGTCTTGAATCGGTATTCGGCCGCCTTGGGGACGTCTTGAGCCGTCTTCGAGGCATCTTGGGCCATCTTGGTACCTTCGGGTTCCCTGCACGAGCCGTCTTGTTAGCTCGGGACGCATACACACTGTTCTTAACGAGGGGTCGTAGCTTGTGCGGCCCTGAGGCGCTTGGGAGCAGCGCCTGGGAATGCGGGAAGTGCACGATCCTCGAGTGAGTGCGCGTGGGATGAGGGGTCTAGGAGTTCACAGCCACGCGGGAAGTGCACAACCCTCGAGCCGGCGCGCATGGAATGAAGCTTCAGGCATTAGCTGCCATACGGGAAGTGCACCATCCTCGAGCGGGCACGCGTGGAAGGGGGCTGGGAGCGGGGGGCAGGAGGATGGAAAGAGGAGCCAGCTTGCATTCCGTTGCCCTTGATGCAGGTTCGTTGGCTTCTGGTGGCTTATCTTAAGCATACCGACTTGCACCGCTGATGGTTCTGCATCTGTATCCCCTTCCCCTTCCCCCTCCTCCTCTTCTTCCGTTTCCTTCTCCTCCTCCTCCTCCTCCTCCTGATCATCATCGTCATCGTCATCATCATCATCATCATCATCATCATCATCATCATCATCATCATCATCATCATCATCATCATCATTATCATCATCATCATCATCAGCTTCATCATCCTCATCATCATCATCATCATCATCATCATCATCATCATCGTCATCATCATCATCATCGTCATCGTCAGCCTCATCATCATCATCATCATCCTCATCATCATCATCATCATCAGCATCATCATCATCATCATCATCATCATCATCATCATCATCATCATCATCATCATCATCATCATCATCATCATCATCATCATTATCCGTCTCCTCCCCTTCTCCTCCCCCTCCTCCCCCTCCTCCTCCTCCTCCTCCTCATCATCATATTCCTCCTCCTCATCCTTCCCTTTCTCCTGTTCCTCCTTTTCCTCCTTTTCCTCTTCCTCCTCCTCCTCCTGTTCCTCCTCCTCCCCAGGGAGGGGGATCCCAGCCGCTGCCAAGGCCGTGAGTCGGCGAGGGCTGCCCATGCCGCCGCGCCAGTGCCCGACCTGGACGCCACCCCGAAGCCGAGGCGGCCGCAGCCGCCGCTGTCGGCGAGGTCGCGAGACAGCGGCTTCAGCTGCTACCAGGCGTGCTCGGCCGTCGGCATCCTCGCCCTCGTCCTCGTCTTTCTCCCTCTTCTCGGCCTCCTCCTCCTCATCCTCCTCTTTCACCTCCTCCTCCTCCTCCTCCTCCTCCTTCTCCTCTCGTCCTCCTCCTCCTCTCCTCCTCCTCCTCCTCTTCCTCCCTTCCTCCCTCCTCTCCCTCTCCTCCTCCTCCTCCTCCTCCTCCTCCCCTCCTCCTCCTCCTCCTCCTTCCTCCTCCTCCTCCTCCTCCTCCTCCTCCTCCCCTCCTCTCCTCCCTCTCCTCCCTCTCTCCCTCTCCTCCTCCCCTCCTCTCCTCCTCCTCCTCCTCCGCCTCCTCCTCCTCCTCCTCCTCCTCCTCCTCCTCCTCCCTCCTGTTCCTCAGCCTCCTCCTCCTCCCTCCTCCCTCCTCCTCCTCCTCCTCCTCCTCCCTCTGCTCCTCCTCCCCCTCCCGCCCGCGCGCGCGGGAGCGCGCGCGGGAGGAACGGCCACGGACAGGGGCTGTGATGGCGGGGAGGGAAGGGAGGGCGGAGGGGGGGGGAGGCAAACGCTACTGGGCGTGTGGGCGCGGGGAGGAAGGGAGGGAAGGGAGGGAAGGGAGGGAAGGGAGGGCGGGGAGGGAAGGGAAGGGAGACGGGGAGGGAGGGGAGGGAAGGGAGGGAAGGGAGGGCGGGGGGGGGAGGGGAGGCAAACGCTCCTGGGAGTGTGGGCGCGGGGATGCGCGGGGGGCGATTGGAGGCAGACGCTCCCACTTGCCGCTGCGCTGCCGCCGCCCGCCGAGTCGAGGAGTGCCGGGTTCCCGCCGCCGCCTCGCCTCCGGCCTCCGCCGGCTCTCCCCGCTCTTCCGGCCTGGCGGCCACGAGCAGCTGGGTAGCTGCAGCGAGGCCCTGGCCCCTCGGGCCCGAGTCGCCCAGGTGAGTCACCGCAGGCCCAGGTGTTCTCGGCCTTTTCAGCAGGCGGGGGCCCGACGAGATCTCCACGATTCTTCGCAGGGTAGCTCGCACGCCGATTCCCACAGCTCACACGGCTTCCGTACAGGTTTGATCGCTCGCCCTCCCAACCGTCCTTCCTACTCATCCTCCTCCTCCTTCTCCTCCTCCTCCTCGTCCTCCCTCCTCCCGTCCTCCTCAAACCAGCCGCGCTCGCCGATGCAGCTGCGCAGCCAGGCGTCGCTTTCGTTATGTTCCGTGTTTCACGAGTGGCTGTCGCTCTGGTGAGGCTCCACGTTGGTAAGGCCCATTGAAGACCGATTTCCACAGCGACAGAGAACAGCAATCAGCTATCCAACCAAGGACGCTTGCGCTTCCTGCCCAACGTGAAGATATCCGAATCAATCCGCGCAGCACGGATACAATGTCTTGGAGGAGGAGGAGGAGGGGAAGCAGGAGAAGGAGAAGGTGGAGGTGGATGGAGAAGGAGAAGGTGGAAGGGGAGAATGACGAGAGTATGCCTGCCGCGGGCGTGCTGGGCTTGGCTAGCGCGGGCCATCCCGTTGCAACATTGATTTCCTCAAGAAAGGCTGGTCTTCTGATTTCGTGCCCTCCGTGACATGTCTGGTTTCGGTTGCCTCCCGGAGCAAAATCATAAAACAAACGCCCCGTTCGGCTTTTGGCTCCAGAGGGGCTAAGTAAGCATCCAGCCCTCGCTGGCCCGAGCATCCAGCCCGCGCTGGCCAAGCGAGCTGGCTAGCTTGAGTTGGCATTCCGTTTTGGCTTGGGGGGGTCCCACCTTCTTCCGACTCCGGCCGGGTGTGGCCTTCGGCGCCGTCTGGCCGGCATCTTCTACACCGTCATCTGCTTTCTCGGCCTTCGGTCGAGGGCGTCACCGGCATACCACGTCTTGGTTGGATTTTGCTGGAGACCGGACATTGTGGAACAATTGGGAGAAGGATTACCTTGTGCACGCGCACATCTGACCGGGCCCCGGCCCGCCCGCGCCGGTCCTAAGGGGCCCGCCTGCCGGCGGGTACGCGCGTCTCGTCTCGTCTCGAGCCCGTTTCTTTATTGCTTGGGGCATGACGGGCGTCATGGCCCCCGCTCCCCTCCACCCCCCCCGCTCCCCCCCCCCCCCGCTCCCCCCCCCCTCGTCTGAGACGAAACGAGTCGTCTCGTCTCGTCGCCCGCGCCGGCCCAGATCCTCGACCTCCGCGCGGCCCTCCCGGGCCCCAGCGGGCGAGCAGGCACGGCGCCGAGAGCCGCCCGTCCGCGGGTGGAGCCCCGCGGGCGAGGGCGCCACACGGGGCTGCGAGGAGCCGACTGCTCCTCCTCCTCCTCGTCCTCCTGCTCCTCCTCCTCCTCCTCCTCCTCCTGCTCCTCCTCCTCCTCCTCCTCCTGCTCCTCTTCCTCCTCTCCTCCTCCTCCTCCTCCTCATCCTCCTCCTTTTGCTCCTCCTCCTCCTCCTCCTCCTCCTCCTCCTCCTCCTCCTCCTCTTCCCTCCTCCTCCTCCTCCTCCTCCTCCTCCTCCTCCTCTCCTCCTCCTTCTTTTCTCCTCCTTCCTCCTCCTCCTCCTCCTCCTCCGCCTCCTGCTCCTCTCCTCCTCCTCCTGCTCCTTTTTCTCTTCCTCCGCATCCTCCTCATCCTCCCTCTCTCTCCTCCTCCTCCACTCCTCCTCCTCCTCCTCCTCCTCCTCCTCCTCTTCCTCCTCCTCCTCCTCCTCCTCCTCCTCCTCCCTGCTGGAGCATGGTAAGCCGGCCGTTTCGCGGTCTGCCTGCTCCGGAAATCTTCGCGAGTCGACGACGGCCGGCATGGACCATGACCAAAATCGGCGCCGACATGATCCCGCCACGCTTTGGTCATAGCCTCATAGTCATCGTGCTTCTTTCTTCGAGTTGTGGAATCAGCAACTTCCAGCTGGATTGGCCTAGGGTGGGAGGCTCGCGCCACCGCCTCTCCGCCGCGCACGCGGCCGGGGCGCCGCGGCAAACGCCGCTTGGGCCCCGCGCTGGGCTGCAGCCTGGCGATGCCACGCTGCAGCCGAGTGCCGAATCCAACTTGCCAGGACCCAGGCGCGAGCCGCGCAGGTGCCGCTGCGGTCGTGCCGACGCCTGCGCCACCGCGGACGGAAGGCCGCTCTCGGTCCAGGTCGTGGTCCCTGCCGCTTGCGAGGCGAGGGGCACACGTCTGCGCCGCGGCGCCGCGCGCGGAGGGCCGCGCTGTCCGCGCCGGCGTGGGGCTGTGCGCCAGCCAGTTGCGCGCGGTCGAGGGTGTTGCTGCCCGCCGCGGCGCTGGAATCGCGGCCGCTGCGAGCGGCGCTGAGACTGATCACCACCCACCCAACCACCCCAACCCAACCCGAAAGCCCCAAGTTGCCCTCCATTTCCAGTTGGGGAAGGGGATTCTGGGGGGAAAAATACGCACAGATGGAAGCCGTAGCTCCCCACCCCACCCATCAATCTGGGATTTCGGAGTGGGTTGGGGTGGTCTGGTAGGTAATCAACTTATGAATCCGAACCACGGCTTAAGAGACCCCCAGGAGAGACCCCTGGACACGTCCCCTGGCACGTTCTCTGGCACGTGCACTGGGCCCCCCAGACATCCCTGAGAAGGCAACCAGAATGGGCCTTGGACCCTCCTTCCGAACCGGCCCTATGTCTTACAATGTTCACCGCCACTGGCCCCAGACAGTTCGAAGATCTCCGATGACGCTCCCAGATTCTATCCCTCTGTGCCCTCGAGCATCCCCCCCAAGGGCCAGCGGACCTTAAGATTACGAAGACAGCAGGAGAGGGACGACGGAGGAGGGGCCGAGGTGCACCGACGTGGCCACGGTGCGCACGGCGGCTGTTCTCCCTCAGCCTCCACTCCAGAGCGCGAGGTCCGTCGCGCTCCGGTGACTCCGAGGGTGCTCCAGCAGCCATCCTCCTCTTCTTCCTCCTCCTCCTCCTCCTCCTCTTCCTCCTCCTCCTCCTTCTCCTCCTCTTTCTCCTCCTCCCCTCCTCCTCCTCCTCCTCCTCCTCCTCTCCTCCTCCTCCCTCCTCCCTCCTCCTCCTCTCCTCCTCCTCCTCCCCTCCTCCTCCTCCTCCTCCTCCTCCTCCTCCTCCTCCTCCTCCTCCTCCTCCTCCTCCTCCTCCTCCTCCTCCTCCTCCTTGTGGGTTTCCAACTTCTCTGGAACCTCAGGCTGGCCGTGCGGTGGTCCCTTTCAGACAGCCCACGGGGCCCGACATACGCGCCCGTGATGCCCCTCCTCCTCCTCCTCCTCCGTAGCCGCTTTGGTTCGAGATGCGAGACTCCTCGGAGAGTCAAGTGGATACCGCTAGTCTGCGGCAAGCTCCCTGTGCCCCTTCACACCACTGTCGGGGACGGCGCGCATCCCTCTCCGCTGTGCCATGGCGCCGTCACGCAGGTCTGTTCCCGCAAGTGGGCGGGGTGCTGAAGGGGCCGCCCTCGCGCGCAGCAGCCGAGCGCTCGCCGTGGCTTTGCAAGTCCTGGTCCTGCCACGCCGCCGAGGCCCAGAGGTTCCGCAACAGCGGTTGGAGCCTCATTTGCGCAGGCTGTAAGCTACACAAAGGCGTGGCCTTCGGCGAGGCGGCGGTCAGCGGCGAGGAGCCTTCCACCCGCGGCAGCGTCCCTGGCAAGAGCGGCAAGAGCGGTGCCACGGGCGACGTCAGCCGATGGCAGTACGCGGCCATGGAGAAGAATATCCGCGAGATGAAAGTCGAGCATGCCAAGGAGCTCGAGCTGGCTCGCCGCCAAGGTCGCGCCAGCGGGCCGGGGGCGGACGCCGCTGCGGCGGAAGGCCCCCCCCCCAGGCCCTGGCGCAGGATGGCGCCGCTGAAGTAGCCGCCCGCATCAGGAAGCTCTCGGCCCTGGCGCAGGCGGGCGAGCACACGGCAGACGGGGGAATGCGCAGCGCTGGCAGGCGGAACTAGACCACCTCAAGGCCTTGCGGCAGGAGAACTTGCCTCTTGGGAGGAGCCTCGCCGCGTGCAACGGCGACACCAAACGCTCGGAGGGTCTCGAGGCCACGACCAACCGAGACATCGCCGCCACCATGGCCGACATCGGGCGGCTCGAGGTCAAGCTCGCCCTCCAGCAGGAGCAGCTGGCCAAGCGCACCAAGGACCTGGCGGCCGCGAAGACCTTGGGCGACCTCGGCAAGCAGAGAACACAGGGAGGCAAGGGGGCGGAGCTCATCCCAGTCCTCGAGAACGCGGTCGCGAAGCCCGAGGACCACCTGTGCGTCGCGGGCCTGGGCGGGGCGGAGGCAGTCGAGATCGGCCAGCTTTTCCCCCGGGCTAAGGAGCGCCTCATCCAGAAGATCTCGGATGCCAAGCTGCAGCGCCCCAGTGCCCCGCGCGTGGGGCCGTCTGCCCCGCGCCCAGTGCCGGCGCAGATCCCCGCGGCCACGGCGCGGGAAACGGCGGCCTCGAGCCGCGCCTTCCTCCAGCCCCTCGGCCAGCACGTCCCTGAGGACGACGAGGAGGCACGCGTCGCGGCCGCGCGCGCCACGGACGCACGCGCGGCCACCCTCGCGGCCAAGAGGTCCAAGACGGACAACGGCGGCGACCTGGGACCCAGGGCGATGGAGGGCGTCCGCGAAGTTGGCGAGGTGGCCGAGAGCGCAGGCCGACAGGCACTCGCGCGTGGCGCGGCTCCCAGCGGCCCTGAGGATGCTGGCGCGCCTCCTCGCGCTGACGGTCAAACCGATGTTGGCGGTGGAAGCTCGCCGCGGCCCTAGCTCCAGCTCGGTCGCTCAGATCCTCTACTGCAGCATCACGGAGCGGGGCCCTCCAGTGCCAGGCCTCTTGCAGTCGGGCCGCGCAAAAACCTCCCACCGGTTGACCTCCATGGAGTTGCATCGGCCCGAGGCCCACTCCAGCGGCATCATCAAGACCTTCCGTAAGGAAGGGTGGAAGGCGACGTGCTCCCCTGGCATCTCCACGGGCAAGGGCGGCGTCACTGGCGGCGGGGCGATGGCGGTCCGCTCGCACCTCCAAGCCACCACTTTCGACCACTGGCGGGACCCGAAAAGAGCCTCGCTGCGCGGCTGTGCCCCCATGGTCCTCCACGCGGCCGCGGGCGACATCGCGGTCGTCTCCGTCCACCCGCGCCCTGCGCAGGGGTCCCACGCGCAACGGGAACACGCCAGTCGCCCTGGGTTCCTTCCTGGCGCAGCTCCGCACTCCATGGGCAGTGGCGGGCGCCTGGAACCGTGGGCCGCACCAACCAAGCCCCGCTCAAAGGATCACCCGATTTGTGGGCGAGCTCATCCTGCCTAACGCCTCGGTCACTTGCGACAAAAGGCCAAGGGCGCTCGCTGGACTGCGGCGTCGCCAAAGAGGGTTTCGCGCACCTTCTCCTGTTGAAGACATACCTGAAGGTCCCCTGGGCGACCCATTGCGGCCCCGCGCTCACCCTCAGAGGCGCGCGTCTGCGATGGTAGCACCAGGCCCTGGATGTCCCGCCCAGCCCAACCCACGGCACTGCGCGGCAAGCTCATAACCGACCCAGACAGCAAGAGGTCGCGACAGCGGCGGGAGGCGGGGGGCACTGGCCAAGAGGGCCGCGGCACTCCCTGAAGTCATCGGCCGCGACTTCTCGGACGTCAACCAGGCCATCTGCCGCGACAGGGTGGCAGGCGATAACAAACATGGGCCGTTGGTGCCCGAGGCCGGCGTCGCAGCCAGCAGGGGGCCGCAGGCGGACCGTGCCCCACCCCAGCCTCTCCCCAACAGGATGGCAGCCTCAACCAACCTCAGCGGCGAATGGGGCCCCTTCGACGACGTGCAGGAGGAGCCCGAGCACGCGGCGCACTCGGGCGCCACCGTCGTCGGCGCGCCCGCAGTGGACCCCTGGGGCGAGCGCATCCAGCGCAGCCAGCAGCAGGCCGCCAACCTGCTGCCCAGGTCCCCCCTGATGCAGCAGGAGGTCCCAGCTCGTGGCCCTGGTCCGCCAGTCACGGCCACCCCCTTGTTGACCCCTGAGGAGGCGTGGGATGCGGCGGCCACCCACTGCGGGCGCAGCGTGGCGTCGCCACCCAGCAACTTGCGGCGCCCTTTCATCCAGGCGCGCACGCTGCAGGCGCGCACCCCCGCCCACCTTTACGGCTCGCGGGCCCCCCGAGCTGGGGGGGGCCATCCTCGCGCGCGAAGGGGGGTGCGAGTTCAACTGGGATGCGATGCGAGGCAGGGCCGGAGGCGTTGGGCTCGCCTGGAAGCTCACAGCGGCCAGCCCTGGCCGCGCGCACCTCCGCGACCCCGGGGCCGACGCGCGTGCCACCCGCCGCGCCGGCCTCGCGGCCATCGCCGCATTGGCAGCCAGCTGCAAGGACCCTGGGCAGACGCCGTGGCGGAAGGACCTCCACCTCTCCACCCTGCGCGACATCGCCAAGCTGTCTGCCGCAAAGCTCCAGGACAAGCTCCAAGCGCACATGGGGAGGTCCGCGGACCTTGGCGGGAGAGCCCCGCGCGACCTGGCCGAGCTACCTCGCCCGAACACTTGCTGGCGACGCTGGGAGGAGAGCCCCGCGAGAAGGCAAGCGCAGCTTCGCGGCCTGGGCGGGCAATGCTACTGTGGGGCATCTCCACCGCTGGACCAAGGGCGGCGACATTGAGCGCCTCCAGGACCAGACCAATGGCGGCACGCTGGCAAACCCAGTCGACGCCATGGCAACCAAGGCGGCCACCTGGGCCGAAGCCTGGCCCGCCCCGCACGACAGGAAGTCAGCCATTCCATCGGCGCTGGCCCAGCTTCGCCGACAAGCTGCCGGCGAGGACCCCCCACTGCTCACGCTGGATGGACCCAGCGCTGCCGCGCGCAAACTCGGGCCGCGCAAAGCCTGAGGCGTGGACAGACCCAGCCCCATCGACATCGAGAGGCCCCCCGACAGCAGCCAAAAGCAGTTCCTGGACATCCTCCACCTGGCCGAGCGGCACTGCATGTGGCCGCCGCAGCTCAATGGCACGCTGGGCGCAGTGGTGGGCAAGCCGGCAGGGGGAGATCGGGTCCTGGGCCCCCCCCCCCCGTGCCAATCCGCATCTGGGCTCGGGCCCGCAGCGGCGCGGTCGACATGTGATCGCAGGGCCTCGAGGACCACTGGGGCGCGGCCACAGGAGGCTCCTCCGCGCTGCGCGCCGCGCTGCACAGGGCGACCTTGGACGAGACGGCCCAGCACATAGGCGTGCACCACGCGCCCCTCTTCGCCGACATCGCGAAGTTTTTCGACTCGATCGACCTGGCCTGGCTCGTCGAGAGGGCCCCCCCTGGGTTTCTCGCCTTCCATTTTGGCCCTAGAGGTGGAGGCTTTCCTCGCGCCGCGCTACCTCAAGAGGGGAGAATGGGTTGGCCCCCCGATCTTCGCCAGCCAGTCCACCGTGGCGGGCTCTACCAACGGCGCCAGGTTCGGCATGATCTTCCTCTGCCCGATCCTGCAGGCGGCCCAGGACCAGGTGCAGGCCACCACCATCTGGCCCGACATCAACGACGCGGTCTGGCGGGCTGAGGGGACCGAGGACCTCGTCACTAGCTCCCTCGCCACAGCCCACTCGGCGCTGGCCCAGGAGCGCGCGAGAAGTCTCCTCACGGTCTCCCCGAGACCACCCTCGTCGCCTCCACGGCCAACTTGCGCAAGTCCATCGCCAGGATGCAGGGCGTTCCAGGGCATGCAGCTATCAGCATGGTTGATATCGGGGTGGCCGCGGTCACAGGCATGTGCCGGGCCCCGCGGCATGCGAGCGCAAGGCATGAGAGGGCGGCCAAGCAGGCCAGGCGCGCCACCCGCGCCCGCCGAGCGGCTGCCCGCCTTGGCAAGTTCGG